GGCCTTCCTACTTTTCTTCTTTTAGTTGAACTGATTACCAAAACCTCAATATCTCAGCACGGAATACAGTAGACAGCTCTGCTGCAGCCAGACGATTTTATTCCTCAGATGACCGAGCTCTTCTATCGCGCACACATCAACAAATAAAGAAGACGATCAGTGTCATAACAGCATCCTCAGCAACAGGCCTCATATGCACACCTGGGCAGCATCATGGATAGAGCAGGATCTAATACTAAGGTGAATGTAAGGATCGGCAAAGAGAAAGCAAAATTCCTACAACTGAGGAGCATGTGGAACCGAAAACATGTCATCCAACACCAACGTCAGAGTTATCGATGACAACGTGAAGGCATTTTACTGTATGAACCTGAGACTTGAAGAACTACGACAGACAAATATAGGGTATTAATGAACAGATGTCCACATAATATCCTTCGGATCCATTGGACAGACAACATTCGGAGAAAAATATTGTGGCAAAGTACAAACCAGCAACTAGATGAAAAATAAGCTGCGAACATTGCTAATGTGTCACTGGACAAGCTGTCAAATGAAATACTCAAGGCAAAACTCGAAGAGAAAGATCAGTGAACACAGTCGACAGGGGGAGCTCAGAACAGCACCGATGGAGGAATCCTGGTCTTTGGCCTATGATTCACGAGTAGTAATAGGGGTAAGTTAATGATTAATCAGCTCTCAGTTAAGTAAAAGTTGTGGCGATCATTCTAATAGTGTGTTGTGCTTTTGTAGTGGATAATACGTGTATAAACTTCACCGATCGGTCCAAGCATGACAGCTGCTTTGCAGTCGAGACGATATACGTCTGCATGGTACACTGGTGACTAGACGAAGAATGATTCATTCTTTATCTCAAAACCGTTCGGGCTTTTTAAAAAAAATGATGAAGTTCTGATAAATTGTAACAAACAATCAATGGAATGTCTATCTGAAGTTTTCAACCAACAAACGTGTACCAGATATAGATTGATAACAGGCACTTTGTTCCCTACCATCGCTGAAAATAATAAATTCATGTGTTAGACAACAGTTTGTTTCAATTAAATGACCGGATGACTATTACGCTCAGAAAAGTTCAGTTCCTAGTAGCTCATGTGCAGTCTTTTGGCAATGAATAATTTATTTAGAATTCTTTCAAACGTCGCCCGCTACCATCATTTGTCAGGCATGGAATTTATTGTGTGCGCAGCATGTGAATGTCTTACTTACATCAGTAAATCAAGTTCGTAACCTTATTTCAAATTCAACTGAGCACTATCTTATAAAGCTCAGTGCAGTGAAGGTTAATCACTACCTTAGTTGGAACCAAAAAAATACATTTCGAGAAACTAGGCCTTAAAATGACTATAAAGATATCTAAGTATAAATAAAATTACAGTCTTAAGAATAAAACATTGAGCTCATTTTCACGTATAAACATTTGTTTAACCGGACGTTGTTCGCTGTTGTAGCGGCACTTGTTATTCGTCCTCGTGATGAAGGTGAGTTTCCTGAGTTTCCGCAACATTATCAGTGCATGCTTATGTGTGTCGGAATCTTCGGTTCCATCTTTCTAGTTATATTATTAATATGTATGGCCGGGTTTTATATGCAATAATCCCTTAGTTATAGACGTCATTCACGGTTCAGCCTGAGTTTCTGGAGTTATCGTTTTGTTGTCCGTGTCTCCTATTGCCTTGGCATATATCAGTAGCTTGTGCTATGCACTGATTCAGAATATAGTAACGTTTGTGTCGATAGAAAGAATCGTCAAGTTATTTATGTCAGTTCGCTTTTCTTACAACTAACCGTACTAAAAATGTATGACGATTTTTACAACTCGCTCCTTTAACCATTGAGTAGGAGCTTTCGAATAAACTCCATCTTACGATTAAACTACAACTGTTGGAACTTGTTGTACGTCAGTAATGTCCGAAACATTTCTGTTGGCTACAGACGCGACTGGTTGAATAGACGCATCTTTTTGCTGTCTGCTGAGATCTAGAACGGACCCAATTTTCTAATCAAACAGGGTAGCGTCTATGCTATCTTTTCTTCCCTGCATTATGGCAACACTATAACAATTCAAGCACAGCACTGCAGAAACAGGACATCCGGGATATCCAAAAAGTCGTTGCAAAAGAACTCATGTATGCTATTTAGTAGGTACCTGCGATATCAGTCCAGATGTAGAGTTGATTAATGCTCACCGTAGTTTCATATTCGAGACCTCCCAGTTCGAGTCAAAAGACGACTTGGTTTTTATCAAAATTCTATTGATTTTCACTTTTGTACCTATGTTTGTACAGTAAAATGCAGTCATTCGGGTCGATGTATTCTAATGGCCTAATTTTATAGTTACGGAGTTATAGTCCCTGCGGGTATACGCATTTAACTATCGAATGTGACCACTGTTAGACCTAACTTATATCATGTTCTTAGTATTATCACTGATAAGGGGAACTAACATTACTCAGAAAAAATCCTGCCTCGAGAATTATATTGAAAAGAGCATATACCTGTCTATTTATTTAGCATATGCTAATGTCAGCTCATATAGAACCAAGGTCTTGTCACAGTGGATTCTGTTTGCAGTGGTTTAGATGGTAATTAAAGGTTATTGCAGTTTATTAAAAAAGCGTTCCACTATTTAAAAGGCAAAGAAAAAGATAGTTTAGCAAAGCCTTGCTGGAAGATAAAAGCCAAGTAGCATATGTAGTCCTGGCTTTGAAATCTGTCAATTATTAGCGTGTGGTAGAAATTCCAATAGTCTTGTGTAATATGGTTTGGCCAGTATTTTTACAACGATTAAATCGCGGAAACATTAATTACAAGCGTCCCGTTGTGTTTCGGGTGCTACTTATGCTGACTAATCCTCTCACTTGAAACTCGTTTCTACCAGTGAACCCGTCACTGGCAAAATTATACCTATTATTGTACTTGTCGCTTACTCATCGAAGACTTGGCATTATGTCCGTCTTCGTGTAAAGCTAATAAAATGTATTTGGAAGAATATTGGGATTGAAAATTGAGAATTAGGTGAAAATACTTAAATCAATGTGAATGATTCTCTGATATAAAACTTAATATCTCTCTGGACGGATGTGAGACAGTTTCATACTGGGATGACACGGCTGTGCAGTGTCTCCGGTGATGGTGTAATGTTCATTGGTTCATGTTTTCAGTGGAACGCAATTATTGCCACAACCCTATACAGATGTTTGTCAACTTTATGCACCCAATCAAATTAAATAGTATCTCCGTCCGTGAATATCATTAGTCATATTATTATTCTTTGCTCCTTTTTTTCAGCTTAACATAGCATTTCCGTCCAATGGGACTCAAAAGTGTATCGAAATCGATGAAGAACTTAGACTTCGTCCATTTTATGACAAGCGTATGTCTCATGAGGTTCCAGTTGATTTTCTGGGGGAAGAATGGAAAGGATACATAGTACGCATAACTGGTGGGAATGACAAACAAGGCTTTCCTATGAAGCAAGGAGTTTTGACTAATGGCCGTGTCAAGTTGCTGTTAAGCAAAGGGAGTTCATGTTATCGTCCTAGACGTAAAGGAGAACGACGTCGTAAGAGCGTACGTGGTTGTATAGTTGATAGTAATTTAAGTGTCCTTAATCTGGTTGTTGTACGCAAGGGAGATAACGATATCCCCGGTTTAACCGATGTCACTATTCCTCGACGCCTTGGACCAAAGAGAGCTTCGAAAATTAGGAAGTTGTTTAATCTATCAAAAAAGGATAATGTATGTCAGTTCGTTGTACGAAAGCCTGTCGCTGCTAAAGATGGAAAGAAAGAACGTTCTAAAGCTCCAAAAATTCAGCGTTTAACAACACCCTTAAGATTGCAGCGCAAACGTCATAGGCATGCACTGAAGCGCCAGCGCATAGAAACCCGCAAAAAGGCACAAGAAGAATACGCTAAACTGCTTGCTCAGCGTCGAAAACAAGCTCGCGATGAGCGTGCAGAGCGCAAACGTTCACGAAGTCAATCTTTACGGGAGTCGAAAGGACAGTCATCAAGTTCATCATAAAATTGTGTAATTACAAATAAATGTATGGATAAACTTGTATGTTTTCAATATTTCTGATGTGTTGTTTGTAAAGTTAGCTATTCAAAGTAGTTCACTCGGTTAATCTTGATTTCCAATTCATAGAATTACATAGCCTATGAAAACTAACCACGTCATAGATTAAGCGTCGTGTTTTCTATTCCAATTTATAAACCGATAGTATCTTGATTTATCACGGTCTATTTCTTAAATTTAAACAATACACTCATGACAAGGTTTAAATTATGATACGTAATGGTGATCTTCGTTTAGTTCGGTTTAGTCACTATTGTTTATTTATCTGAGATGACATTAATTTTCCTAGTTCTTTGGTTCAACCCATATATATATATATCTATATACATTGATTTGACGTGGTTCACTTTTGATTGATTTTAAGATTACACCACTCAAATTCGGACGCTTATAAGTTTTGACTAGTAAAGTTTTACTGGGATCCTGTATGCACGTTTCCGAGACGCAGCATACATCGATGGCACGAGATTCTAAAGTCCTAGCTAATGATGCCTGTTGCCCTATTTGACACAATGTCCATACATTAAATGCTCCAACATGTAGATTAGAACGAGGTTTCAAGAGACCAGTAATGACGTTTCGTGAACTCGTATCGTTTGCATTAGTGGTGCAGTCAGATAAGGGAATGTGAATAGAGTTAGTTGTGGAGAGAAGAGAGGTATGTTTGGGTGTAGGAAGGATTTGATTTTTACGAATTTGGTCTGGTGTGCTGTTACGGGTATGAGGGCGGTTGTCACTTCCCGGCTGCCCACACCGTGGGAGGGTGTTTCGTGAGGAACGGTCGGTCTACTATTGGATTTGAATTTACAATTACATCTCTGTGCTGATGTGGTATGGCGACATGAACATATGTACTTATGTACGAAGTTCTACGTTGCATCTGACGGACTAGTAAGTACGACAACAGGTCGAGAATGGTTAGTTTAGTCAACTTTTAAAACATGTAGTCATTTTCAGTCACCGATATACAAATCGTCCTATCTATTTCATTTTTGTTGATTATTCAGACTGTTAGCTTGGTTCTTCTTTCTTTTTATTTGCTATGTTGGCACTTCCAACGTGATCACTTTCTTCAAAGCTGTTTACCTATACTAAGCAGATTACTTCGCATATTCTTGTATGTGAAATGTGCTTCTTAATTCACATTTTGTCCTATAGGATGTTGTTTGTTTTCAAAATGAACTTCATAATAAGCCAGAATAAGTGAGTATGATCATTGTTTAGCGTATTGGTGTAAGATCTTGATGGCGAATAAGTTACTAGTGTGTTAAAAAAGAAACGCCAAATACGTGACTATTCATAACACCGAACAAATGACATGCAGATTTAAACAGTTGTAGTGTTGTGAACGAGAACACAGGTGGGGCAACCGGATTGTATTTAAAAAAATTATAGAGTTGCTCAGTAAAATCGTAAAAAACCATATCGTAAGTCGTTAATTTGCAAAATATCAGTTCATCATATCGAACTGAACTGTTCCTGTTGCAAAACATCAATCCATTGTCACTATTCATGCGTTTCATACAAATTCCATTGTGTTCTAACTCTTCCTTTCTTGATCTTCCTCCATCTTCTGCTCCCAGACATTACGTTGACACTCACGTCATAAACTACCTATAAGTAGCTCGCACCACAGTAGTTGTACTTGTTACCCTTAAGGTAAGCATGATCGCACTCGCATCTATCGATGGGTCGATAGATGTGCTTGTGATTTCGTGTTCCGACAACTGTCTTCAGTCGAATGTGAAATGCTTACGCTTATCATACTTTTGTCCGGTCTCTTTTCAAGTGCATACGTTGTGTTAGTAGCGATCTTGGTTTTTTGGATATATTCATATTATTTAATATCAATCCTAGGAATGTCATCTTAGGAATTTTCACTATTTTGAAAACTTGCTAGCCAAGTTACTCTGTTGTTATGTGAAAACACTCGGAAAAACTTTAGGCTGGTTATTTAGCTTAAAGTCATTATGTTCATCACAGCTCGTATAAACTCATACATTTTAGGAGTTTGGACGAATCATAACAATATCACGATAGTCGATTGTTCACGTAATCATATGGCAAATTTTTCTACCTGTCGTATGATTATAGTTCTCAACAATGAAAGGATTTTGTCACTTGTATAAAAAGGAGGCTAATATTTTATTGTACGTGGCATGATAACAATTAGAAAGCATAAATGCTCGGTTTTATACGATTTCTCAGTACATTCCCGACTGATGTTGGAGGTCACTTGTAACTATACCTATCCTAGTTGCTATCCTTTGAAAAATTCTTTAATTGTCGCAGATTCAAGTTGTTGATGACCAAAAAAGCTATATGAACTCATTTCAACACTTACCATCGGGTAGTATAACAAAAACTGACTAATCAGCCTCTTGATTACGAAATTAAATTCTGCTCCATTCACTGTTTGTACAGGGAGGTAGGTTTTGTGACTCTTACTCAAATCATAACTTGAAGTCCAACAGTAACCTCTGTTTATTTTCTAATCTAATAGCAAGAAGCAGTCATCGCTACACTTGTCACAGTTTATTTTGTACTTTACTATTAATCTTTGGTTAATCTAATTCTACTAACTTCAGACTTTCCCGTTTAAATAACATGAGCTTACAAGTAAATTTCTGCAGAGTAAATAAATTATGGTTGGATGTATGTTTCATTGTTATCAAGAACTAAGAATGTTTCCTTGAAGGAGTTGGGTTCTATGCATTCAAAATAAAGCATTTTAATGACTTTTGGCTTATTTAGATTCATCAATTCAGATGACACTATAATGATTTGATTTTTTATTTCTAAAAAGGAGCTGAAATGATTTGTAGGCAATATATATGACGATGTACTTATGTGCAAAGTTCTGTGTTGTAGATGATTATCTGATATGTGACTGGAACTGAAATTTGACATTTTATAATCTCCAACGTTCAGTTGAGAGAGAGCAGTATACTCGAATTCCGATCCCGGAGTGTCATACTGTTTGCTGTGCAGGGTGTACCGAAAGTGAGATACTTTCCCTATGAGATCAGCATCTGCAGTGAAACTGCTTTCATACAACGCGAGATGGAATGAGGTTAGGAAAAGTTAACCTCACTGATTTCAATTGTCAATGGTAGAGTCTTAAAAGTTCGGAATTGTCAGCTAGAACTCACAAGAAAGTCGCGTGTAGCCAGCTTCATATAGTCAATCCTTAGACCTTACAGTCATGCTCTTAGGTCATCATGACCAGTTCTAACCCAGTTTCCTTTTTTATATCCGTCTAGTATTGAAAATCTTAACAAATCATATTTTGTTCTGTGATTATCAAGTAAGGGAGGCTATCGATTTCTAAATCCAATCAATCTCAAGCTAAGTATGATCATTTCCAGTTCACTGATTTTGCAGTGAGCAAGATCTTATCCTATACTGATCTCAACAATGCTTGTTTCTTATGCTCAAATATGTACCGTTTTTAATTCAAACTAACATTTATATCCTAATTCTACACAGTGAAGCGTTTGTCGTCATCTTCCCATATCATCTTGATTACATCTTTGAAAAAAATATTTGCACAGTTTGTCTGAGCCGATTAATATGTATGGTTGTATTGTGTTAGATTCTTGTCAATATTACTATGAACAGAATTATGACTAAATGCAGAGTCTTCTGACTACCCTAAGCAACAATGCAAGCATGTTCGGGATGCGATTCTCCCCGTCGAAATGGGTTGCATCGGCACCTGAACTAATGATAGGGAGTGAAGTAGTCGAACGTGTAGACCGATTGACGTATCTAAGGAGTCTCATCAGTGCTGATGGACTAATGACTGATGAAATCTCAGCATGAGTACAGTTGGCTTTTGCCAACTTGCGTCACCTATGGCGCAGGCGAAATATCCGCTTGCTAACCGAAGGACGAGTGTACTGTTCATCAGTTCGCTACATCCTACTATACGGATGCGAAACATGGCCGTTAAGAGTAGAGGACACTAATAGGTTACTAGTCTTCGATCATCGATGTCCCCGAAGCATTGCTCGTGTATCCTGCGATAACCGAGTAAGCAATACTGTCGTTAGGAAACGAGTACTAGGTAAGGATGGCAGATCACTAGATGAAGTAATGAAACTTGATCAGTTGAGGTGGTTGGGACATGTGTAATGTACGCCTAACCACCGACTGCCTCGACGAGCTATGTTTTGTGATTCGGAAAGTAGGTTGAAAGAAAGTTAGGGGTGGCCAAACCAAAACATAGCACAAATCCATGAAGTCAGTGACAAGCGGACTGAGTCATGTTGGTGGATGTAGGCTACCTGTTTGGGGTCCGCGAGACGACTGTAATCGATGGTTAGAGACCTTGAATGACATGGCTCAGAATCTTTCACAGTGGCGCAGGTGCATCCACTCTTTGTGTTACCTCTAATTCTAACCTGAATTCCTCTTAATCTGTTTCTTTCTCTTTCTAAATTTATTTCACTGAATTACACTTGAACAAGTTGTTCGGACCTTAATCTTCTCCTTTAATGCTAATAATTCTACTATCACTATCACTCTTGGCTTTGAACTGACTGTTGCGTCTCTATGCTGATATGTTATGGCAACCTGAACTGATGTACTTGTGTACGAAGTTCTGCGGTGTATCTGTGTGTCTGTCTGTCTATGACTATATACCTTTTGAAATTAAACATAATTGTTCGTAATGTTTGATGTATCTATTCTAAATTACTTGTGAAATATAATCAAATCTGGTCATTTGTATTCGTTTTGTTTTGTTAGTATGTCTAGCAAATGATATTACTATGGCTGTATGTGTGTGTAGTTGGTTATACTGGAACTTCATGAAATCAAATTATGGTTTATTTGATTGATCGTGGAGATTTGACAATTATTTGAAATGATTCTTGTCTCATAGACCGACGTCAAAGAAGAAATCTTAAAAAAATTAAGAAACACTGATAATCTGTTTAACTTTGGTTTGAAGCTTTATACTAATACGCAGTTAGGATCCTGGAAGGACCGTGTACTGACTGATGATAACTAGTCTTGGAGTGAATTTTTGAAGTTGTCATTAGGGTTTATGACTATTACAGTTCAACAATGTGTGGAAAGTGAAAGACGGATAACACTGATCGTAATGGATGATCGTTACGCATCACAACTTGACTGAAATGAAGAGTTTAAATCACTAAATTACAATTCCCGTGGTCTTAATGTAACGTTTATTGCGAGAACTCAGAGAAGGATGCTTCATAACTGAGTACATACTATTAGGAAATTCTTGAGTAAAAACAAAATAGACTGAGGTCGATCTGTATTAAAAATTCAATACGATATTTTATTAGCTTGGTTAAAATTCTACTTCTTAGATTATATCACAAATTCAACTTGTAGAAAAGAGGTGATGCCGTTAATCAACCCCAATGATTATAATTCAAATGTTATTATTCATAGGTTAGTCAGTATGATAAATTTGGTAGTAACTGTTAAAATTACTTAACTAGTCAAGTAATTTTAATAAGAAATAAAAACTGACAAGAAAATTGAAAATGTAAATTTATCATGGATAACAACTTGGTAGTTTTTTTGAGGTTAATGCACTCGAAATATGACAGTTGATCAGTGTTGAGGAGTGCTGCATCAAAACAAAACAACTTTTGGCGATAGATTGATGCTCATACAAATTCAACAATGATAAACTCACAAAATATATGTGGGGTCAGTCAATCATTGGGGTGCTAAAAGCTTTCTTGCTTTTTTTTCAATTGTTTTCAAACTAAAGTCAGTCCGAGTTCTAGTTTTATTTAGTGAAGACGCTGAAAAAATACTGAGTCTTCTGACTATCCTAAGCAACAATGCAAACGTGTTCGGGATGTGATTTTCACTTTCGAACTGTAAAATGTTACATTAAAATGGGTTTGCATCGTCACCCAATTTGTTCTCGTGTGCTGTTGCGGGTATGAGGGTGGTTGTCATTTCCCGGCTGCCCACACCATGTAAGGGTGTTTCTTGAAGAACCTGAAAAGGAAGGTAGGTTATTGTCGGTCTTAGAGACTTGGGAGCGTGACCGCAGAGTCCAAGGGATAACTGCTTGAGACCGGTCACGCACGGCCGTTTTATGAAAGGTTTTTTGAATATTAACCCTGCTCATAAAAGCCCTTAGTGGGCGGCCCTTACCGACGGAGACGGAAATCCGTGAGGTAGGGGAGGTGTGACATTTTTAGGGTCGACATTTTCTAACCCTCCCTTCCTTGTTTGAAAGCAGCATCGCTGCGGATGCTAGTTGTCCGAGGGAAACACCTCACTGCTGTCACACCCCTCTGCAGTCAGTCAGCAGTACGACTTCGCCCTCAGACCTTGAATAGCTGCTTTTAGTCTGATCGTTCTCCAATCGACCTGCCTGGCATGGTAGAACCTTCAGGAACATATGTTGCAGCCAGTATAGCTCGGTTGGATGATGACGATAGGCAAGCCCGACCACCACGTCAAGGTAGCAGCAACGGTCGGGAAGGTCGAGTGTTCTATGCAGCAGTTCACCCCGTTCTTCTATATGGATGAGAAACATGACCGGTGAGAGAAGATATCCGTAGGTTACTAGTATTCGATCACAGATGTCTCCAAAGCATTGCTCTTGTATCGTGGGACAGCCGAGTAAGCGATGTTGTTATTAGGAAACGGGTGCTAGGTAAGGATTGCAGGTCAATAGATGAAGTGAAACTTCATCAGTTCAGGTGGTTTGGACATGTGTTACGAATGCCTAACCACCGACTGCCTCGACGAGCTGTGTTTTGTGATGTAGGAGTAGGGTGGAAGAAAACTAGGGGCAGCCAAAACAAAACATGGCACAAATCCATGATATCACTGACAATTGGATTGAGCCATGTTGGTAATGTCAACTACCTGGTCGGGGTCCGCGAGATGGTAATAATCGATGGTTAGAGACCTTGAACGACATGGCTCAAAACCGTTTGCAATGGCGCAGGTGCACTCATTCATTGTGTTCTCTCAAATTCTTACTTGAATTCCTCACCGCCATCTTTCTCTTTCTAAATTTACCTCACTGAATAATACTTCTTGAATAGCATCTTCGAACCCTAATCTCTGCGATTCCTTCTAATACTTTCACTACCTCTACTACAATGAGATTTGAATTGACATTTACATCTCTTCGTGCTAATGTGGTATGGCAACTTGAACTGATGTACAAAGTTCAAGGTTGTAAATGACTAACTAACTAACTGACAGTTCGATTTATCAACTACAAAATTCAACAATACTCCTAAAACAGTTTAGCTAATAATAATAATCAGTATATTAATCTCTAGTGATAAATTTCAAGAAATAATTCCTAGAATTCTACTTAGAACCTGTAATGGGTAGAGTTGAAAGAACATTGTAATGATTTAGATAAGTTAACTTGTGATGAACTTGCACACTAATTATAGTTAGTCAATCAAATGTCACCATTTGAGAAGGCTATTTTGATGACCAATTGAAAATGCCCTCAAAGATAAATGCATATGATTGGTCGTAAAGTGGCTTCCTACTCTAATGAAATGTAATATATAAGTAGACATATATTTGCACCAACTATTCGGAAGTTAAGTAGACTTTTTCTTTCACTCATGCTTTATCAATCATATGGCCAGTCTGTTGAGTTAGCATATATGTCTCGATTAGATCTGGGAAAACCGTAGACAGACAAACAGATACAACGCAGAACTTCGTACGTAAGTACAGCAGTTCAGGTTGCCATATCACATTAGCACAGAGACGCAATTGTCACTTCAAATCTCATAATGGTAGCGATATTAATAGAAGTATTAGCAGTAATGTAGAAGATTAGGGAGCGAAGATATGATTCAAGAAGTATATTTCAGTGAGATAAATTTAGAAGGAGAAAGATATGGATTATGAGGAATTCAGAAAGTTAGAATTAGAAAGAACACAAAGAGTGAATGCACCTGCGCCATTACAAACGATTTTGAGCCATGTCATTCAAGAACTCTAACCATCGGTTACTGCCGTCTCGCGGACCCCAAACAGGTAGCTTACATCTACCAACATGAATCAGTCCACTTGTCAGTGACTTCATGTATTTCTGCCATTTTTTGGTCTGGCCGCTCCTAGTTTTCTTCCAATCTACTCCTACACTGCAAAACATAGCTCGTCGTGGCAGTCGGTGGTCGGGCATATGTAACACATGTCCCAAAAACCTCAACTGGTGAAATTTCATTACTTCATCTATTGATTTGCCATCCCTGCCTAGAACTCGTTTCCTAATGACAGCATTGCTTACTCGGTTGTCTCCGGATACACGAACAATGTTTCGGAGACATTTATAATCGAAGACTTGTAGTCTACGAATGTCTTCTACTCCCACCGGTCATGTTTTGCATCAGTATAGTAGGACGGAGCGAACTTCTGAACGGTACACTTGTCCTTTGGTTAGCAAGCGGATATCTCGTCTGCGCCATAGGTTACGCAAGTTGGCAATTGAGCTAACTAAGCCTTCTGTATGCGAGCTGAGATTTCGTCAGTCACCAGGCCATCAGCACTGATGAGACTCCGCAGATACGTCAATCGGTCTACACGTTCGACTACTTCACTCTCTATCACTAGTTCAGGGTGCCGATGCAACCCAATCCCTGAAGCAAAATTTTGCATTTCGAGGAGGAAAACCGCATCCCGAACTGTACATCATAACACATTCTGTAAATCAATTTAACTTTATCAAGAATATTTAATGAACTTATTGATATTTAACAAGATAAAAATATTTGTCAAATAAATTTACGTACTTAAGTTTTACAATTTTAGAGGAGAGAAAAAAAATTACACAATCCTCATTATTTATATATATACATATATATGACTGGTTTCATTTTTATTTATTAGATATAAAACTCAAATGAATCCAAATATTCAGAATTTTTTCAAAAAATGTCAACAATTAATTCATTTTCAAGTGTTCTCATCATTTATACGTTCGTCGTCGTCGACGTCCTCCTCCTCCTCATCAGCATCATCATTAATGCCTGGACATATTCCAGTAATGAAATCAGAAATTATTCAGTATACTCAACCAAAACCTGGTCAAGTTAGTGATCTTTTATATCTTCTTGTTTTATTTGTTTTTTGTCTACAAAAATGGTTTTTAAATATACTGAGAAAAGTCCGACTAGATCATCATATTTTTAGGCAAATGATACAAGTACGTTTTGACTGTGACTGACTCTCTTGTGAGTGAATCGTTCATCTAGGCAACAATACCCTAATCGATATATAGATTCCTGTTATGATCAATTCAAACCATGTCTGTGTATAGTCAAAAAAACCGTGAGCATTATTAATATTCGTTTTTAAGTAATGGAAACTTTCATGAAATCTTTGTCCTTCTCTCACATGATTTATCGATCGGACTCAAACTGTAAAATCTAAAAAAAATGGCTTTTAGTTTTATTGCGTTACTTCAGTTCTACAAAGAAGAAGATGCCATTCGATAATTGATTGTCATGTTTAGTAAACAAATTTACATTAATCACTATTATTACTGAAATTATGAGTCAATCATTGTTTGACCACCATTATAAACTTGGAAGCATTGAAAGACGGCCGTTTCGTCATGGTGATAGTGGGACATAGATGGAATTAAAGCATGACTACGTTGCTTCGCGCTGATTAGCTAAGTTCCTATCCAATCAGCGCCTGATCGATACTTGGAGAACAGGGTAGAAAATTCTCGTGTTGTTAGCTGCACGCTGATTGGCTAAATCTAACCCAGTCGCCTTCGGCTCCTTCACACCCACCAGCCCCGCTACGACCTCAAACTCCTTCAGAAAGCTCCGCACATCTCCGTCCTCAAACTTCTTCGGCCATGGTATCTTCATCCTTTGTGTAGGCAGCGACACCAAATGTAGTGAAGGAGAACACAGGTGAGGGCAACCGAATTGTATTTAACGCAATTTACAGAGTTAATCAGTAAAATAGGAAAACCATATCGTAAACGGTTAATTTGCAAATCTTCAATCCATCATCAATCCATTGTCTGACATTTCACTACTATTCATGCGTTTCATACAAATTCCATTGTGTTCCCACTCTTCCTTTCTTGATCTTCTCCCATCTTCTGCTGCCAGACACTACGTTTACACTCACGTCATATACTACTTATAAGTAGCGCGCACCACAACTATCCAGAAACTAACATTGTATCTATTTTGCCTTCGCCTTCGGCTTCTTATTTCCATTTAACCTTGCTATTTGGAATATAATATTTTTTCTGTTCCACCGTGTTTTTGATTCTTTGGAACTTGTCCAGTGTATTGTGATCGGAGAATACTAAGTAATAGGAATTAGCTGGGAATTAATTAAGCAAGTGAGGTTTTGGATTCATCAACAGTGAGCATTCATGGCTTCTGTTACTTGCATGATTCGAACCCCAGATCATTGATCTTTCTCTTGAACACCTAACCTCTGGACCGCGGGGCCGGCATCCAACGGTGTTAATGTCTAACTTGTATCAATCTGGGGATTTTGCGCGACTTCATCTATTTGTCTTCGGTGCTTACTGTCTACATCTGAACAGGTTGAACTCTATTGGTCACGTCTTCTCACTAGAACTCGGAGAAGATTCCTCACACAGCTAGTCACTAGTAAGCACAGGTAATTAATTGCATAACGGGGTTGTGAAGATTGATAGGTTACTTGCACTACTGATGAATCCCGTGCCAGGACGACAGGGTGGTCGTCCAGTGTTTTTCAGGTTTCCAATATAATTCAATTTTAACAGGATGGATGAATAGTCAGTCAGTCAGTCAGTTGCAACGTAGAACTTCGTACGTAAGTACATCAGTTCATGTCGCCATACCACATCAGCACAGAGATGTAACTGTCAATTCAAATCCAATAGTAGAAGAGGTAGTAAAGGTATCAGAAGTAATCGGACAGGTTAGGATTAGGAGATATTATTCAAGAAGTATGATTTAATGAGATAAGTTTAGAAAGTCAAACTAGAGGTGTTGAAGAATCCAGAAGATTAGGATTTGAGAGAACCCAAAGAATAAATGCTCTGGCGCCATTGCGAACGATTTTGAGCCATGTCATTCAAGGTCTCTAACCATCGATTATTATCATCTCGCAGACCCCAACCAGGTAGTCGACAATTACCGACATGGCTAAGTCCACTCTACCAAAACTACTCACTTGTGTAATCGAAAAGCCAACAAACCAGTCCCATAAACTTCACAACTACTCTATTACCGATAATCATCACTATATGATAACTAGTAACTAGGGAATAAGATTCTAGGGATAATTGTGAAAGGTCGTAACTAGTTCAGTATTATCATATCATAGTTGTGAGAAGAGTATTAGAAATGAAAATTATCGGATGATGGTTGTTTCGTGCAATCGTAATTAATTGCATTACGGGGTTGTGAAGATTGTTAGACTACTTGCACAACTGATGAGTCCCGTGTCAGGACGACAGGGTGGTCGTCCAATGCTTTTCAGGTTTCTAATATAATTCAATTTTAACAATTCTCTAATAAATTAATGAAAAAAACAATTCCATACCAGTTAATTAAAAGAGAAAAATTCATTTTTAATTTTTTTTTTGATTTTATTTAGATTTATTTAGATATGACTTTTGGTACAGGTGGTCATGCTAATGAAATATTGAAATATGCTGAAAATAATTTAACATGTTACTTTTTAGATCGTGATCCAACTAGCTATCAATATATGGAATCACTTCGTGCACATTATAGTTTATCAAAGTAAATTTCTGGTCTGTATTTTTTGTTGTTGTTTAATTTGAAAAACTAAGCAATGCTATTTGTTAGGGAATGAGTTTTAGCTAGGGTTGACAAATCAATAGATGAAGTAGTAAAATTTCATCAGTTGAGGTGGTGATTGGGACATGTGTTACGTATGGCTAACTACCGACTGCCACGACGGGCTATATTTTGTGGTGTAAGAGTAGGTTGGAAGCAAGTTAGGGGCGGTCAGACCAAAACATGGCAGAAATCCATGAAGTCACTGACAGGTGGACTGAGCCATGTTGCTAGATGTAGGCTACGCTACCTGGTCGGGGTCCGTGAAATGATAGTCACGAATGGTTAGAGACCTTCAATGACATAGCTCAGAATCGTTTGCAATGGCCCAGGCGGATCCACTCTTTATGTGCTTTTTAATTCTAACCTTCTCGATTCCTCATTATCTTTATCTTTCTCCTAAATTTATCTGACTGAATTATGCTTCTCGAATCATATCTTCGCTCCCTAATCTTCGCCATTACTACTAATACTTCTAGAATCGCTATTACTATTGGATTTGAACTGACAGTTGCATCTCTGTGTTGATGTGATATGGCAATCTGAACTGATGTACCTGTGTACGAAGTTCTGCGTTGTATCTGTCTGTTTGTCTGTCAAACCCCATTGGGGCTGACAGGTGTAAGTAAGTAAGTAAATACCAGTTTTAATGTACATATATATGACATTTTATTCTTCTACAAACTATTGTGGCGCGAGCTACTTATAAGTAGTATATGACGCGAGTGTCAACGTAATGTCTGGCAGCAGAAGATGGGGGAAGATCAAGAAAAGAAGAGTGGGAACACAATGGAATTTGTATGAAATGCATGAATAAGCGAAATGTCATACAATGGATTCATGATTGATTGAAGATTTGCAAATTAACGATTTACGATATGGTTTTCCAATTTTACTGATTAACTCTGTAATTTGCGTTAAATACGATTCGGTTGCCCTCACCTGTGTTCTCCTTCACTACATTTGGTGTCGCTGCCTGCTCGGAGGAAGGCGCTCCCGTGGTCGAAGGAGTTGGAGGACGGAGAATAGCGGGGCTTCCTGGAGGAGTTTGAGGCCGCGGTGGAGCTGGTGGGTGTGAAGGAGCCGAAGGCGAAGCTGATGGTGCTGGGGACGCTGCGGGGAGGTGAGGCAAAAGCCGTATACGACAGCTTGGACGGTACCGCCGGGAAGACGGCGCAGGAGACGGTCACGCGGCGAATAGTGACCGATTTCGTCGGCCCAGTGGACAGGGAGGAGGCGCCGCAGTGGTCCCGGTTGGCGAGGTTGTCTGTCTCACTGGTGCTGGCTGTGGAGCTCACGATATTGCTGCGCCGTGCGCTGACGAGTGTGGATGGGGAGTCGGGGGCACAGTTGTAGGCGTCACAATTTATCGAGAGTGTGCCTGCCGCCGTGTCCCAGCAGCGGGAACTAGTAAACGCTACAGGTTGGATAGATGCCGTACCCATTCCACACCAGCGGGCAAGAACAATGACCGAAGTAGTAATCCGGCATATTGTAGCGCGTCACGGAATATGGAAGGTGATATTAACTGACCAGGGTCCCTGTTTTGAAAGTGACGACAGATTATTAAAAGAGGGGACGAGTGTGGTGTGAGCTACTTATAAGTAGTATATGACGTGAGTGTCAACGTAATGTCTGGCAGCAGAAGATGGGGGAAGAATAAGAAAGGAAGAATTAGAACACAATGGAATTTGTATGTAACGCATGAATAATGACAATAGATTGATGTTATGTAACAGGAACAGTCCAATTCGATATGATGAACTGATATTTTGCAAATGAATAATTTACGATATGGTTTTCCGATTTTACTGAGTAACTCTGCAATTTTCGTTAAATACAATTCGGTTGCCCCGCCTGTGTTCTCGTTCACTACACTTCTACTATTTCTATCACGCTTGGATTTGAAATGACAGTTACGTCTCTGTGCTTATGTGGTAGTATGGCAACCTGAACTAATATACTTATGTACGAAGTTCTGCATTGTACCTATCTGTCTCTGTCTATATATACATATATATATGATTGTTTAACTAATTAGTCAATAAGTATGCATCTATAGTTCATCAGTTAATAGTTGCGTAAGTTTATCTAAATTTATCATGTTATTCTCTGTCGTCCATATATAAAACAGCCTTTTTCTTTGTGTCTTTTCTCTAAATTATCTTTTTCATTCTCTCTTCATCTCTCTCTCTCTCTGTGTTTGTATATTAGTCATAAAATCTATCCACTTATTGGAAAATTTAGTGATCTACCACAATTATTATCGTCATCATCATCATCATCAAATCAATATGATTTGAAATATCAATCAGTTGATTTAATTTTGATGGATTTAGGCGTAAGTTCACCACAATTGGACATGGAATCACGTGGATTTGGTTTTAAACATAATTCTTCACCATTAGATATGCGTATGAATCAATGTCATGGTGTACAGTAAGTTGTTTTTCTTTTTTTGTTCTTCTGAATAATGAATCGACCAATGGTGGTCTAACTAACATTGATCATCGATTCATGGTTTCAAAAAATTTGTGTAACTTAACAACAATCTTCACAACAACTCCGTAATGCAATTAATTACCTGTGCTCACTAGTGACTAGCTAGCTTGGTGAGGAATCTTCTCCGAGTTCTAGTGGTGGGAAGACGTCGTGACCAGTGAAGTTCATCAACCTGTTCGGGTGTAGACAGTAACTACTACCGAAGACTGTGTATGAGGTTGCGCAACTCTGTGAATTTGATCAAGTTAGACATTAACACCGTTGGATACCGGCTCAGTGGTCTAACGGTTAGGGCGTTCGCGCACAATACCGGAGGTCCTGGGTTCGAATCCTGCAGGGCGCAGGAGTCGTGGATGCGCACTGCTGAGTAGTCCCATGTGCCAGGACGAAACGGCCGTCTTTCAGTGCTTCCAGGTTTCTAATGGTTGTGGTCTAACATTGATCATCGACTCATGGTTTCAAAAATGTGTAACTTAATAATCTTCACAACCCCGTAATGCAAAAGATGTAAATAGTTTGTTTGTCTTTCATGAAATAAATGAATTTGAAGTTGTAAAACGTTCATATTCAAAGTATATTAAGGAATGTTAATTTTATCTCCTAACAATGCATATTATTCATAACTCCGTTTTTCATTACCTTAAAATGTTAGGGGCATAAGATCCTCAGAACTCAATTGATAAAGGTTCGAATTTTGGATTTTATGCTTTCGCACATGGGCTGATCAATTGACCTTGAGATTACATTTCCCACTAGGAAAATTCTTGATAGTTGTTATTGGTTGATGTATTATTTTAGTACGCTATTTTCGTGGCTCTGCCAAGGACATTTCTTTTGTGTATAAATAAACGAGAATTGTGTGCTTGAAAAACCTCGTATTTTCTGGGTGGTTATAGAATACACTTTTTACGCCATTTCAAGACTTCTGCTTAGTGATGTCTTAAGACGCTCGGATTAGAGTAGCCTATCGTTTCATCGGGATCATTTGTCTTTACTCTCGTTTACCGAGTAAAGTGAACTCGTAATAGCATTCAAGCATATCAATTGACGAGCATAACAAAAATAGTCATAGAAGTTCTGAGAAGTTTCAGGTACTTCACTAGATTATACTCTTTGAATAATAATATCTTCAAACACTAATCTTTCTGATTACTTCTCATACTACTGTGGTGCGCGCTGCTTATAAGTAGTATATGACGCGAGTGTCAACGTAATGTCTGGCAGCATAAGATGGGGGAAGATCAAGAAAGGAAAAGTGGGAACACAATGGAATTTGTATGAAACGCATGAATAGTGAAATGTCAGACAATCGATTGATGATGGATTGAAGATTTGCAAATTAACCGTTTACGATATGGTTTTTCCTATTTTACTGATTAACTCTGTAAATTGCGTTAAATACAATTCGGTTGCCCTCACCTGTGTTCCCCTTCACTACACTACCTTTACCACTATGGGATTTAAATCGACCATTGCATGTCTGTGTACTAATGTGGTGGTATAGCAACTTGAACTGATGTACGTACGTACGTACAAAATTCTACGTTGTTGGTAACTGTGGCTATTTGTTCCAAATTTGAGTTGATAATTGGAAAGCACGATAGATTGTATGCATTCAATGTTTCCGTCATGTTCTACTCTCGTCCGAGTCTGTTATTGAGAAATACACTTTCTGTATATGTGGTTAAGTAAAAAGCTTTTATTTGGCTAATGTATGTGTTGTGTCCCATTGTGACAAGCCTACATGACCTGTTCTAACGTTCGAACCAAACTAGTTAATCTACTCTTGTTGATTCACTACGCATCCGTATTTCGACCTTGTTAATTATCCTCTTAGGGCCAAACCAAAATATGGCAGATATCCATAAAGTCACTGATAAGTGGACTGAGCTATGTCGGTAGATGTCGACTACCTGGTTGGGATCCGCGAGACGACAGTCACACCGATGGTTAGAGACCTTGAACGAAATGGCTCAAAACCGTTTGCAGTTGCGCAGGTGCATTCATTCTTTGTGTTCTCTTAAATTCTAACTTTCAGAGTTCCTCATTACCTCTATCTTTCTTTTCCTAAATTTATCACAGTGAATTATACTTCTTGAATCATATTTTCGCTCCCTAATCTTCTCCATTGCTGCTAATACTTCTACTACTATCGCTACCATTATGGGATTTGAAGTGACAATTACGTCTCTGTGCTAATGTGGTATGGCAACATGAACTGATGTACTTACGTACGAAGTTCTACGTTGTTTTACTTGACTAACTGACTGACTGGAACATAAAATCAAATAATCACTTGACCGATTAGCATGTATGCATGCATTTGTCAGCACGTAGGGGCGGCCAAACCAAAACATGGCAGAAATCCATGAAGTCACTGACTAGTGGACTGAGTCATGTTGGTAGATGTAGACTACTACCTGGTTGGGGTCCGCGAGACGAGAGTCACCAACGGTTAGAGACCTTGAACGACATGGCTCAAAATCGTTTGCAGTGGCGCAAGTGGATCCATTCTTTGAGCTCTCTCAAATCCTAATCTTCTGGATTCGTCAGCACCCCCCAACTTTGTCTTTCTAACCTTATCTCATTGAATTATACTTCTTGAATAATATCTTCAAACCCCTTAGTCTTCTTCATTACCATTAATACCTCTACTATCTTTATCACTATGGGATTTGAACTGACAGTTACGTCTCTGTGCTTATGTGGTAGTATGGCAACATGAACGTATGTACATACGTACGTAGTTCTACGTTGCAACTGACTGACTGACTTGTCAGCAGCACCTGGTAGTTATCATTTAACCTTGAACGAATAATTCTGATTGGCTCAGCCTATTCCTCTGTTTTATCAAAATGTTTTTATATGTTCGTTTTAAATTATTCACGTGTGTGTGTCCCTGTGTGTGTGTTTGTATTTTACAGAAAAGACACACCAACTGCCGCTGATATAGTGAATACATTGAATGCTGATGAATTATCCACAATATTTAATATTTATGGTGAAGAACGTTATTCACAACGTATTGCTAATGCAATTGTTGATTATAGACATGATGTTGGTTTTATACAAACAACAAAACAATTAGCTGATTTAATTCAGTCTGTTGTACCAATGAATAAATCAGATAGTGGGTAAGTAAAAATATTTGATTTCTGGTGGTGTTGATGCCTCTGTTTATATATGTATATAAATATATATTGTTGGGGATGTTAGATCCTCAAAATTCGCTTGATAAATAACTTATTTTGGTTTTCACGTTTGTGAGCATGGGCTGATCAATTGACCTTGAGATTTTAATTCGCACCTGGAAAATGCATGGCTGTGTGATTGGCTGCTGTGTATTTTAGTGTGCTATTTTCTTAACTGTCTCAAGGACGTCGTTTCTATGATGTATAAATAAACGAGAGTTGTGTGATTGATTGTACTATGATTGCTGGGTGTTTGTAGAATATACTTTCTACGCTTACAAAGCCTTTTTACTCTATTTGGGGATTCAAGGTAGCCTACCTGGACGCTGGTAAAAGTCTCGTTCGGGTTTCGTGACTAAGGTAAACTCGTAATAGCGTCAAGCATACTTAGTGACGAGCGTAACATATATATATATATATATATGTATTCCAGTGGGTTTAGAGATTGTACTCCCTCTCTCCAGATGATGTCATAACCATTGTCTTTTCGTTAGTCAGTCAGTTAATCAGTCAACAACTACATAGAACTTCGTACGTACATACGTACATTAGTTCAAGTTGCCATACCACCAGATTTGCACAGAAGCAATAGTCACTTCAAATCCCATAGTAGTAGTGTAGTGAAGGAGAACACAGTTGAGGGCAACCGAATTGTATTTAACGAAAATTACAGTGTTACTCAGTAAAATAGGAAAACCATATCGTAAACCGTTAATTTGTAAACATCAACCCATTGTCTGACATTTCACTGTTCATGCGTTTCATACAAATTCCATTGTGTTCCCACTCTTCCTTTCTTGATCTTCTCCCATCTTCTGCTGCCAGACATTACGTTTACACTCGCGTCAAATACTACTTATAAGTAACGCGCACCACAGTAGGAATGGTAGAAGTATTAACAATTATCGGAGAGATTAGAGTTCGACAAAATTATTCCAGAAGTAGAATGTAGTGAAATAAACTTAAAAATAAAAAGATAAAGGTGATGATGAATTAAAAAGGTTAGGATTTGAGAGAAAACAAAGAATGAATGCACCTGCGCCATTACAAACGGTTTTGAGCCATGTCATTCAAGGTTTCTAACCATCGATTACTATCATCTGGCGGACCTCAACCAGGTACTCGACATCCACCAATTATCAGTGACTTCATGGATTTGTGCTATGTTTTGATTTGGCCGCCCCTAACGTTTCGTGAGCTCAAACGGTTTGCGTTAGCGGCGCGATGTGACAAATGCTCGAAAGGAGGGTTGGTAGTGGAGTTAAAATATTTATTAGATGGTGTAGAAAGGATCTGATTCTGACCGATTCGGTTGTAGGATTTAATTTGTCCTACAGATGAACTTCTAGAACTATAAACGCAATATTGGCGAGCACAGAATCTATGGGAAAGCTATAGTCAGAAGAAGACTAACTTTTGCTTTAAACTTTATCTGTTTCTTAACATAAAAACAATTAGATTAGTACAATAAATAAGGAAATTACAATTATCAAGTTTGGTTAGTTATGACATAAGTACAATTAGTTATAAAATAACTAACATCGGTTTCGTGTACTTTTATGGGTATGAGGGCGGATGTTACTTTCCAGCTGCCCACACCGTGGAAGGGATCTTGTTGTCAGAAGGGGCATCGGCCTCGTGACTTCCGTAGGAACTGGGCTCTCATCATGAGATGTCATGACTGTTCGCACTGAAGACCTTCTAACTCCTAGAGCTGAGTTTAAATGGTTTGACTTATTTTTACTTGTTACTGCTTTTTAGCGAGTTAGTTTTTTTAGTGGATGGGGTCGCCAACCCAAATCCCAACCCTCCTCTTTTATCCGGGCTTGACATCGGATGATCTACAGGCGGAGTTATCGATGGTTTGATTGTGACCAATTCGGTCTCGTGTGCTTTTATGAGTATGAGGGTGGTTGTCACTTCCCGGCCGCTCACACCGTTGAAGGTTGTTTCTTGAGGGACCTGAAAAGGAAGATAGATTAGTGTTGGTCTTAGAGACCTGAGTGCGTGACCGCAGAGCCCAAGGGACAGCTGCTTGAGGCTGGTCACGCACGGCCTTTTTATGAAAGGTTTTTTGAGTGTTAGCTCCGCTCTTGAAAGCCCTTAGTGGACACCCTTACCGACGGAGACGGAAATCCTTGTGAGAAGGCAGCATCACTGAAGATGCTGGTTGTCCAAGGGAAACACCTTACTGCTATCACACCCCTCTGCACTCAGCAGCACGACTTCGCCCTCAGAGGTTGAGTAACTGCTTTTAGTCTTATCGTTCTCCAATCGACCTGCCTGGCATGGTACAACCTTCAGGAACATATGTTCCAGCCAGTATATCTCGGTTGGGTTATCACGATAGGGAAGCCCGACCACCACGTCAAGGTAGCAGCTACAGTCAGGTAATCTCTCCGATTAGTGCTTATACTCCTACTATCTCTACTACTATGGGATTCTAAGTGATAATCGCATCTCTGTGCTAATGTGATGGTATGACAACTTGAACTGATGTACGTACGTACGAAGTTCTATGTTGTTGTTGTTTTCTGACTCACAGACTGACTGACAGCCGCCATATGCTATACAGAATAACTTGTTATTTAAAATCGCGCTCTCTCTCTATCTCTTTACAAGTAGCCTAACAATCTTCACAACCCCGTTATGCAATTAATTACCTGTGCTTACTAGTGACTAGCTGTGTGAGGAATCTTCTCCGAGTTCTAGTGGGAAGACGTGAACAACAGAGTTCAACCTGTTCGGATGTAGACAGTAACCACCAAAGACAAATGGGTGAAGTCGCACAAAATCCCTAGATTGATCGAAGGTAGGCATTAATACCGTTGGATGCCGGCCCCGCGGTCCAGAGGTTAGGCGTTCGAGAGCAAGACCAAAGATCAGGGGTTCGAATCATGCTCACTGTTGATGAATCCCATATCAGGTGTTGTAACGCTTGCTTAAATAATTCCCAGCTAATTCCTATTGCTTAGTATTCTCTGACCACAATACACTGAACGATTTTCAAAGAATCAAAAAACACGGTTGAACAGGAAAGGATTATATTCCAAATAGCAAGGTTAAATGGAAATAAGAAGCCGAAGGCAAAGAAAAAATAGATACAACGTTAGTTTGTTTATATTATTTACATGAGAATCTTCTGGATAGAAATTCACATGATCGACTAGATTAGATTTAGCCAATCAGCACGCATGCAGCTAACAACACGAGAACTTTCCTATCCTGTTCTCCAGAAATCGATCAGGCGCTGATTGGATAGGAAATTAACCAATCATCACTCAGCTAGCGCAATCATGCTTTCATTCCATCTATATCCTTACTCACTAATAGTATTATGTAATTTTTCCTTTGCTCACTTTCTTATTTCAGTTTTATTCATCCAGCAACACGTGTATTTCAAGCATTACGTATATTTATTAATGATGAATTGAATGAATTGTGTATTGGTTTAGAATTAGCTGTATCTTTGTTAAAATCTAATGGATATTTAGTGATATTATCATTTCATTCATTAGAAGATCGTTTAATTAAATGGGCATTTCATTATCAGGATAGCTGTAAACATTTATCTTTATCGAAATATTTATTACAACGAAGTCAACAATTTCATTGTACTACTACTAAAAACCAAAGACGTGAATATTTCAATGATGATAAATTTGATAAAAACTTGGGTGATGAACAATTAAAACCAAAATGGAGTTGTGTAAGTGAAAAAAAGTGATTATTATATTCGAATTTGTCGAATTTTTTTTACTGCTGTGATCGATGCTACTCACAAAGTGGTAAATAAGTAGTATAAAATTGTTGGTGATGTTTGATCCTCAGAACTCGCTTGATAAATAGCTTTATTTTGGATTTTTATTTCATGGACCGATCAGTTGACCTTGAGATTACATTTCCAACCAGGAAAATCACTGGCTGTGATTGATTACTGTGTGACTGTCCCAAGGAGGTCTCTATAGAGTATAAATAAACGCAATTTGAGTGCCTAGATTCATTGCGTGCTGGCTGGGTGTTTGTAGAATACAAATTCTACACTATATCAAGACTTCTTGGTGATTCAATTTGGTCAAGGGATCACAGCAGCCTACGTGGACGCTGGTTCATTGTTTTGTTCTCGTAATTCGACTGAGGTGAACCCGTAAAACCTTTTAAGCAAACCTAGAGACGAGCATAACAATAGTGCAGTGTCGTTCAAAGAATTGCTGTCAGAGAGAGAGAGAGAGGAGTATCTGGAGATGAAATGAACGGCGCAAACAGAGTATCGTGAAGAGTATCAATGATCTGCTTTCATAAACATAGTTAATCTGTTGAATAGAGCAAGATCAAAGATTTTTGAGCAAGTAAGTAAGTAAGTACAGAGGCATCACTCTCCTTTCAATACCAGGCAAAGTCTTCAACAGGGTATTGTTAAACAGAATGAGGGACTTCGTAGAAGCCCAACTTCTAGATCAACAGACTGGATTTCGTAAGGATCGATCGTGTACTAACCAAATTGCTACATTACAGATCATTGTGGAACAATCAATTGAATGGAATTCACCACTGTACATCAACTTCATCGACTACTAGAAAGCATTCGATAGCGTGGATAGGAAAACACTGTGGAGGCTTCTTCGACACTACGGTGTGCCTGAGAAGATAGTCAACATCATACGGAATTCTTATGATGGATTCAACTGCAAAATCGTACACGAAGGACAGCTAACAGACTCTTTCGAGGTGAAGACTGGTGTCAGGCAAGGTTGCTTACTCTCACCCTCTCTCTTTCTCCTGGTAATCGACTGGATTATGAAGACGTCGACATCTGGAGGGAAGCACGGTATCAACTGGACAGTTCGGACGCAACTGGACGATCTATACTTCGCAGATGACCTGGCTCATCTATCGCACACTCAACAACAAATGCAGGAGAAGACCACCAGTGTAGCAGCAACCTCTGAAGCAGTAAGTCTCAACATACATAAAGGAGAAAGCGAAATTCTCCGATGCAACACAACATGCGCCAACCAAGGAATACATTATGCCGAGAAACAGAGAAAGATATGAGAGGAATGAACAAAAATTGGACAGAACTGGAAAGGGAAGCCCAGGACAGAGTTGGTTGGAGAAAACTAGTGGGTGGCCTATGCTCTATTGGGGGTAACAGGCGTAAGTAAGTATGTAAGTATATCATGAATTCATGCTTAGTTCATTTAGTTCCGCCAGGTCAGTTGCTTACAATGCTGTAATATTTTAAGAAGTCATAATTACAGTTTTGGATGTAGCAAATAGTTACATGAAAATTCCAAATGATTTTATATCAGCATATAGTGGAGTAAAAGTGTGAATAATTCTATTAGACTGAATAAAAGGTTGTAAATACTACTATTGTGGTGTGAGCTACTTATAAGTAGTATATGACGTGAGTGTCAACGTAATGTCTGGCAGCAGAAGATGGGGGAAGATCAAGAAAGGAAGATTTAGAAAACAATGGAATTTTTATGAAACGCATCAACAGTGACAATGGATTAATGTTTTGCAACAGGAACAGTCCAGTTCGATATGATGAACTGTTATTTTTTGCAAATTAACGATTTACGATATGGTTTTCCAATTTTACTGAGTAACTCTGTAATTTTCGTTAAATACAATTCGGTTGCCCTCACCTGTGTTCTCGTTCACTACACTACTACTACACTTTATACAGAAAAGCATTCTACAACATTGGTAATAATGAAAAACTCCACCTGTAGACCCTCTGGGTACTACTGCCGGTTCCATGCCTGGATACAGGAGAGAGGGTTGAGTGTGAGGTTAGCGAGCCCACCTCACAGAGATCTAACTCACTAAAGAAATGCTAACTAGAAATAGTAATTCAAACTATTTAAGCTCTGCCCTGGGAGTTAGGAGGTCTTCATTCATATGAGTTATGACGTCTCATGATGAAAGCCAAGTTTCTTCGGAACTCACTCAGCCAAACTAAAACAGGACAGAAATCCATGAAGTCGTTGAAAACTGGACTGAGCCATGTCGGTAAGTGCAGAATATCTGGTTTAGGTCCGCAAAATGATAGTGTTAGGATATTTATTCAACATCTTAAGAGACTTATTTGTAAGTCTAGTTCAATTGGTAAATTCCTACTGGTTTATATTATGGTCGTCCTAAGTGTCAATGTCACAGACTTTAATGTTGTTTCCTTTTCGACCTAACTGTATAAATACGCATCATCTGTAGCGTTTTATGACCCGGATCCTTGCCTTCTTCTAGACTCGGACCTCGTACTTTCTGGATGCTTGTAGAATACACGTTCTACTTCATATCTAGTCTTCTTCTTTTACTCAATGGGGGTTAGGGACACTCGGATTAGAGTAGCATGTCGTATTGCAGGATCCTCGCTCTCGTTTTCCAACTAAGGTATATTTGTAATAGTTCAAGCATATCAAATTGACACGTTTACGTGCATGCGAAACAGATAGTAGTCGGTGCTTAGAGACTTAGAATGACATGACTCAAAAGCGTTTACAATGTGGCGCAGGTGCATCCATTCTTTGTATTCTCTCAATTTCTAATCTTCTGAGTTTCTTGTCAACTTTTTCTCTCCCCCTTTTTTTTAAAAAATCGATTCTTCTGGTATATACTTCTCGAATGATATCTTTGATCAGTAATACTTCTACTACCTCTACCACTATACGATGTGAATCGATAATTCGATCTCTGTGTGCCAATAATGTGTTGGTATAATGGCAGCTTGCACTGTTATACGTACATACGAAGTTTTACATTGTAGAGCAGCTGACTGACAGACTAACTTACAATATCAGTCAGATGCAACGTAGAACTTCGTACATAAGTACATCAGTTCATGTTGCCATACCACATTAGCAGAGACAGATGTAATTTTCAATTCAAATCCAATAATAGTATAGGTAGTAAAAGTATTAGAAGTAATCGGTGAGGTTAGGATTACAAGATATTATTCAAGAAGTGTGATTAAATGAGAAAAGTTTAGAAAGTCAAAAGTAGAGGGGTTGAAGAACCCAGAAGATTAGGATTTGAGAGAACACAAAGAATAAATGCACCGGCGCCATTGCGAACGATTTTGAGCCATGTCTCGCGGACCCCAACCATGTAGTCGACAACTACCGACATGGCTCAATCCACTTGTCAGTGACTTCATGCATTTGTGCCATGTTTTGTTTTGGCCGCCCCTAACTTTCTTCCAACCTATTCCTACACCACAAAACAAAGCTCTTCGAGGCAGTCGGTGGTTAGGCATACACGCAGCACATGTCTCAACCACCTCAATTGATGAAGTTTCAGCACTTAATCTATTGATCTGCCATTCTTACCTAGAACCCGTTTCCTAATAACAAACAGCGTTGCTTACTCGGGTGTCCCAGGATATACAACTTACAATATGTGTTATTTCATCAGTTGTAAACTTTTTAACTTTTATCTCACACTAAACAATTCCAAACTCATGAAATTATTGGCTCCGACTATTTTCTTTTGTATATTTTATCTTGTTTTAAACGATAAAAAAAGGTTATCGGACCTTTGACTCCTTCCAATGCAGAGATCGAGACGAATCCAAGAAGTCGTTCAGCTAAATTACGTATAGCAAAGAAAGCATAAACTTTGGGTGATGCGTGGGGGGGGGGTGGTCTGGTCGTAAAAGAACAGATGAGGAAATCAAATCGACTGTGTATTATTGAACACTCTTTCTATGTATTGTACAGAGTTTTGTTAATTCATTGTCATTTGTACATATCAATCAGTTTGTTTTGCATATATACAATTTTGTACACCTTTTTTTTGTGAAATATACTGATATCTCATCGAATTTGTTTGTTTTTAATGACAGACACTATTTATTTAAACAAACATGTATAGTGGTAAGAAGAATTTTCAAATTAAATTTCTCTTGATTGTTAGAATCATATCTTTCAATCGTAATCTTCACCATTACCGCTACTAATATGTCAACTATCTCTACCATTATGAGATTTGTAGTGACAGTTGTGTCTATGTGATATCTGGCAAACTGGACTACTGATATACGTTAGTACGAAGTTCTACGTCGTAACTAATCGATGTATATATATTCTGACCCGACCGTAGCTGCTACTTTGACGTGGTGGTCGGGCTTGCCTATTGTGATGACTCAACCGACTTATACTGGCTGGAACATATATTCCTGAAGGTTCTACCATGCCAGACAGGTCGATTGGAGAACGATGAGACTAAAAGCAGCTACTCAAGGTCTGAGGGCGAAGTCGTACTGCTGACTGTGATGGAGGGGTGTGACAGCAGTAAGGTGTTTCCCTTGCACATTCAGCATCTGCAGCGATGCTGCCTTCTTACAAGCAAGGAAGGGTTAGAAAACGTCGACCCTAAAAATGTCACGCCTCACCTTACCTCACGGATTTCCGTCTCTGGCGGTAAGAGTGCCCACTAAGGGCTTTTAAGAGCGGAGCTAATACTCAACCTTTCATAAAATTGCCGTGCGTGGCCGGCCTCAAGCAGTTGTCCCTTGGGATGTGCGGTCACGCACTCAGGTCTCTAAGACCAACACTAACCCAGCTTCCTTTTCAGGTTCCTCAAGAAACACCCTTCCATGGTGTGGGCAACCGGGAAGTGACAACCGCCCTCATACCTGTTACAGCACACGAGACCAAATTGGTCACATTCAAATCCTTTCTACACCCCCTATTATCTCTCTTATCTCCACGACTAACTCTACTCACATTCCTTTATCTCCCCACACCTCTGCTGCAAAGTTCTTGAATAATATCTTCAAACCCTAGTCTTCTTCATTACAATTAATACCTCTACTATCACTATGGGATTTGATTTGACATTTGTGTCTCTATGCTAATATGGCATTTGGCAACCTGAACTTATGTACATACGTACGAAGTTCTACGTTGCAGCTGACTGACATATATATTCTGAATAAACTTCCTCGATACAACTTTAAATCGTAAACATCGATAATATAAATATCAACAATGGAATGAAGTAATGTTCAATGGATTTGTCAATAATGCCTAAGTAAGATGTAACTCAATTCTTAGATTCAAGTATTAGTCAGTTAGTGAAAAACATACTGACTAACGCTATGTGTATCATTATTCTCTATTGGTTAGAATCATTAACAATAAACATACCATTTGTATTGAAATCTCAAACTACTCTTTGAGTTCAAAATTCTTGATTGCATTACAACAGATTAGTGATTTTATTCAATAACACGGATTTTTATAGATTTAAGGATTCTTTATCATTACCAGTGTAGGGGCAGTAACTACCGAAGACAGTAGGTGAGGTTTTGCAAAAACCTTAGATTGATCAGCGTTGGGATGCTGACGTTGGCACACAAGACCGAAGGTCCTGATTTCGATTCGCGCGATTGGAGGTTGTGAGTACGCACTGCTGATGAGTCGTCCCATATTAAGACGAAACAGCTATTCAGTCCTTTCAAGTTTCTAATGGTGGTCCGACAATGATTGATTCATGGTTTTTATCGATCAATTCCTTAAGTTTTATCTTTAATTATTTCAATTCTTGTCGACACTCATATTATTACGATTTGATTGGTTGTGAAATCCAAAAGTGGTAGCGATAGTAGAAGTATTAGCAGTAATGGAGAAGATTAGGGAGCGAAGATATGATTCGAGAAGTATAATTCAGTAAGATAAATTTAGAAGGAGAAAGATAGAGATTATGAAGAATTCAGATGATTAGGATTTGAGAGAACACAAAGAGTGGATGCACCTGCGCCATTGCAAACGATTCTGAGACATGGCGTTCAAGGTCTCTAACAATCGGTTACTATTGTCTCGCGGACCACAACCGGGTAGCCTATATCTACCAACATGACTCAGTCCACTTGTCAGTGACCTAATAGATTTCTGCCATGTTTTGATCTGGCCACCCCCAACTTTCTTCTAACCTACTCTTACACCACAATACATCGCTCGTCGGTGAATAGGCATACGTAACACATGTTCCAACTATCTCAACTAATGAGTGTTCATTACTTCATCAACTGATCTGCCATCCCTATCTAGTACTCGTTTCCTAACGACAGCATTACTTACTCGACTGTCTCAGGATATTCATAATTATTGTGAATATCGTCCCTGTTATGGTTCATTGCTTGAAAATTCTTTTTTTCAACTAACTAAATAACTAAGTCGATTTGGTTAGCAGTGTAATTCAGAACTCATGTTTCTTCATCCCGTTTGCGACTTGTCTTCAGCTTGAGTTGATGTTCACACCGGGACTCGAACCTAGTACCATTTGTTAGAAAATGCCATTTAGTGAATGATCGGAACTAACAAATGTATACTAATTAAATGATCTTCAAACAGTAATAATCCCATGACGATAGTCACTTATTAGCACATGAGTTCTGTTGATATGTCGTAACCAGATAGGTCAGTTATATGCTACGGTTAATTGGGGGAGGTGAATATTGAGTAAAATCACGTATTAACTGAACTTAAACATGAATATTATAGTATACCGACCCACTAACCTACAGGTTAGTGTTACGCCTGCACGTAAACATGTCAACTTGATATACTTGAACTATTACGAGTTTACCTAGTCGGAAAACGAGAGCGAGGATCCGGTGACACAACACGCTACTCAAATCCGATCATATTCCGACCCCCATATTTAGTTAAAATAAGAAGACATGATATGAAGTAGAATCTGTATTCTACAAGCATCCAGAAAGTATGAGGTCCGAAAGCAGAAGAGAATCAGGATCCCGGACTAGGGATCTGAGACCGGGTCCTGATCCTGGTCATTAAACGTTACAGATAATGCGTATTTATACATTTGGGTCGAATAGGAAACAGCATCGAAGTCTGTGACATTGACAGTTAAGACAACCAATAGGAAGCAACACTTGAAGTGATATTGATAATCAGGACAACCAATAAGAAGCAACATTGGAGCACGTGACATTGATATCTACTAGGACGACCATCAAATTGACCAGTAGGAATTAACCAATAATTCTCTTAGGATATTGGATGAATATCCTAACAGTTAGGCATTCTGGAGCACAAAACTAAAAAACCCTACGTTCAGTTCTTGCTTGTGGAGCATAAAATGGACAAACACCAACCCGATGAGTCCTATACTAGAACAAAAAAACACCTATCTCGATTTCTAGTAGCTAGTAGTATATATAGTCTAACCAAGACTAGTTCATTATAGTTCAACAATGAAAAAATAACACAATCTCTATAAATTATCTTTTATTATTAGTCAAAAAAAAATCGTTTTTGTTTTAATTAGAAGATAAAGAATAAAGAAAAACCTATTTACAGCTGCTATTCAATGTACAATGAGTGAGATATAAGTGAAGAGAAGAACAAAAGGAATAGACAATTCAATAATCCTTAACAAATGATCTCAACGTGGTTAAAAGATCTTGTGATTGAATGAATTTTTCCAATTGAGTTCTTGGTACCCATACAAAATCGTTAATATTGAAATTATTATTATTATTACTATTATTGTTATTCAGTAATAAATCTTCACCATGCCAATGTCTATCCACATAGACATTGAAAAAGTATACCTGTAAAATTAACAGAACAAATGAGGTAGAATGTGTGTATGTGCATAAATATGCTTACAACAGTCAGTCAGTCAGATGCAACGTAGAACCTTGGTACGTAAGTACATCAGTTCATGTTGCCATACCACATTAGCACACAGAGATATAATTGTCAATTCAAATCCAATAGTAGAAGAGGTAGTAAAGATATTAGAAGTAATCGGAGAGGTGTTAGGATTAGAAGATATTATTCAAGTATTCAAGTATGATTCAATGAGAACAGCTTCGAAAGTCAAAACTAGAGGGGTTAAAGAATCCAGAAGATTAGGATTTGAGAGAACACAGAGAATAAATGCACCGGCTCCATTGCAAACGATTTTGAGCCATGTCATTCAAGGTCTCTAACCATCGATTATCATCATCTTGCGGACCCCAACCAGGTGGTAGTCGACAACTACCGACATGCCTCAGTCCACATGTCAATGACTTCATGGATTTCTGCCATGTTTTGGTCTGGCCGCCCCTACCTTTTTTCCAACCTACTCCTACACTACAAAATAAAACTCTTCGAGGCAGTCGTTGGTTAGGCATACGCAACACATGTCCCAACCACCTCAACTGATGAATTTTCAGTATTTCATCTATTGATCTGCCGTCCCTACCTAATACTTGTTTTCTAACGACAGCATTGCTTACTCGGTTGTTCCGCGATACATGAGCAATGATTCGAAGATACCTATGTTCGAAAACCAGTAACCTACGATTATCCAGAAAGTATGAGGTCCGAAACGAGAAGAGAATCAGGATCCCGGACTAGGGATCCGGGTCCTGGTCCTAGTCATAAAACGTTACACATAATGCGTATATATACATTTTGGTCAAATGAGAAACAGCATCGAAGTCTGTGACATTGACAGTTAAGACGATCAATAGAAAGGAACATTTGAAGTATGTGACATTGATAGTCAGGACAACCAATAAGAAACAGCATTGGAGCACGTGGCCTTGATATCAATAGTACGACCATAAAATTGACCAGTAGGAATTAACCAATAATTCTCTTAGGATATTCAATGAATATCCTATCAACCATTGACGTAGCAAACAACTTAATCATCGATAATACACACACACACACAATTATTTACCTGTGTACCAGTATTCTCTTTATTTTGATCTTGTGTTAACCAAACACCAATTGGTGTATTACCAAATATACACCATTTAGCTCTTGGCGGTAATAAACTGGTTGCTATTGAATTTGCAATCTGAATTAAGAAAAAAATGCGAGATGAATAAACCAATGGTTGTTCTATGCAAAGATATTTACCTCCTCTTTAGAAAAAACATAACATATACATTTGAAGTTAGAAACTTCCATTGAATTTCAATAATTATTGTATTCAATAAATTGTAAGGATGCTTCGAAAATTGAAACGGAATTAATGATAATGAAATTATGAATCGATTAATGTTAGACCATCATTTGAAACCTGTAAGTTCTGGACGGCCGCTTGGTTCAAGTATGGAGGGGGAGTAGGAAGGATTTGACTTTGTGTGATGTCACGGGTATGGACCATTATTATCATCTCGCGGACCCTAACCAGGTAGTCGACAACTACCGACATGACTCAGTCCAATTGTCAATTAATTCATGGATTTCTGCTGTTTTGGTCTGGCCACCCCTAATTTTCTTCCAACCTACTCGTCGATGCAGTCGGTGGTTAGACATACACGCAACACATGTCCCAACCACCTCAACTGATGAAGTTTCAGCATTTCATCTATTGACCTGCCATTCGTACCTAGCACCCGTTTCCTAATAACAGCGTCCCTCACTAATTTAAACATCTCAAAACTACAAAGTCAGCACTAATCGTCAATACTGCGCTAAATAATAACACATTGATAAGTACAATGAAACTATCAACCGATCTAATTTAGACTACTATTGTAAACTTGAAAGCACTAGGAAACCATTTTATCTTACTTAGTATGGGAATCATACAGTGTGCACCTATGATCTAGCACAACGAGAGATTCAGTTTTTCACATGGTCGCTTAATCTATTGATCACCGACTGAAAAAAGGCATCCATCGACGTTATTATGTGTAAGTTATGAAGAGAGGGATAACTTATCCCGTATAATAATATCATTTATTTATGAATCAATCAATAAAAAGAACGCAACAATTCAGTCAGTCAGTCAGTCAGATGCAATGTAGAACTTCGTACGTACGCACACCAGTTCATGTTGCCATACCACATCAACACAGAGATATAATTGTCAATTCAAATCCAATAGTAGAAAAGGTAGTAAAGGTATTAGAAGTAATCGGAGAGGTTAGGATTGGGGATATTGTTTAAGAAGTATGATTCAGAAATAAAAGTTTAGAAAGTCAAAACTAGAGGTGTTGAAGAATCCAGAAGATTAGGATTTGAGAGAACACAAAGAATAAATGCACCGGCGCCATTGCGAACGATTTTGAGCCATGTCATTCAAGGTCTCTAACCATCGATTATTATCATCTCACGGACCCCAACCAGGTAGTCGACAATTACCGACATGGCTAAGTCCACTCGTCAATGACTTCATGGATTTATGCCATGTTTTGGTCTGGTCGCCCCTAACTTTCTTCCAACCTATTCCTACACTACAAAACAAAGCTCGTCGAGGCAGTCGGTGGTTGGGCATACGCAACACATGTCCCAACCACCTCAACTGATGAAGTTTCACCACTTCATCTATTGATCTGCCATTCTTACCTAGTACCCGTTTCCTAATAACAGCGTTGCTCACTCGGGTGTCCCACGATATACGAGCAATGATTCAGTGTAGTAAAAAGTTTGCAAAATCAACTGATGAATAGCTAAAGATCAAGGATGTATTTTCAAGTCACATTGTACTTTTTACTTCTTCTAACCAACTTAATCAATATGGTCATTGTTTCACTAGGGATTATTGACTATTGAATAAATCAATCAATCAATCAATCAATCAATATCGGTTACCTGTCTTAGATTTTTGCCATGACATACTGGTGCACTTGGAAAATTCCATTCATTAGATAGATTATTATTTGAAGATTGAATTAACAAGTATAAAGGTTTATCTAGTACACGCCAAGCAGATTTTAAATTTTGAATTTTATCATTTTCTACAAAAAAAAGAAAATATTTTGAGCATGACGGATGATATGAAAAAAAATCGTTTTGTTAGGTAGGATATTCAGTAAAAATATTCTAAGAGTACTACTATTTTTGGAAGTATAATCCTTTTGGTCGATTTCTATTGGTCAAAGTTAAATACTTCAATGTTGTCTCTTATTGGTCATCCAGACTGTCAATGTCATTTCAAATACTCTTTCCTATTGGTCGTCATCCTAAACTGTCAATGTCACAGACTTCGATGTTGTTTCCTATTCGACCGAAATGCATAAATACGCACTATCTGTAAGACTCCATGTTTCCGTTCCTTCCTGCCTACCTCTCTTCTGTACTCGAGCTATGTTTTGTGGTGTAGGAGTAGGTTGGAAGAAAGCTAGGGGCGGCCAAACCAAAACATGGCAGAAATCCGTGAAGTCACTGACTAGTGGACTGAGTCATGTTGGTAGATGTAGACTACCTGGTTGGGGCCCGCGAGACGAAAGTCACCAATGGTTAGAGACCTTGAACAACGACGTGGCTCAAAATCGTTTGCAATGGCGCAAGTGTACCCATTCATTGAGCTCTCTCAAATCCTAATCTTCTAGAATCGTCAGCACCTCTATCTTTGTCTTTCTAACCTTATCTCACTGAATTATACTTCTTGAATAATATCTTCAAACCCTAGTCTTCTTCATTACCATTAATACCTCTACGATGTTTATCACTATGGGATTTGATTTAAAATTTGCGTCTTTGTGCTAATGTGGTATGGCAACATGAACTTATGTACATACGTATGAAGTTCTACGTTTCAACTGACTGACTTCTGTACTCGACTCAATAAACAACTCAATCCAACAGTGTTGCGTTCTGATATATAGAAGATTTGGGAATAGTATTTAGGTCGTAATGGAATATTTGAATTCGGACGTCGGTAGGATTTGAACAGTTACGTAGCAGCATTATAACACGTTTCTACTTATATACTAGATACAGGCGTGAAAGTATCATTGACATATCACATTAGCATACAGAGATGTAATTTTCAATTCAAATCCCATAGTAGTAGAGGGTGTAATGGTATTAACAGTAATCGGAGAGATTAGGGTTTGAAAAAATTGTTCAAGGATTATAATCCAGCAAAATGAATTTAAGAAGAAGGTCCTGAACTCATGAGATAACTTGATGGATGGATACACCTGCGCCATTGTAAACGATTTTGAGCTATGTTGTCATTCAGTGTCTCTATCCATCGATTGCTATCATCTAGCGTGCCTCAACCAGATAGTCGACACTTACCAACATGGTTTAGTTCACTTGTGTCGCCCCTGGCTATCTTCCACAAAATATCGCTCGTCGAGGTAGTCGATTGTTGGGGGTTAGTAAGACATGTCCCAACTACCTCAATTAATGAAGTTTCACTACTTCATCTATTGATTTGCCATCTCTACCTAGTACCCGTTTCCTAACAACAGTATTACTTTCTCGGTTGTCCCATGATACACGAGCAATGCTTCTAAGACATCTGCAATCGAATAATTGTAACCTACGAATATCCTTAACTCCTACCGGCCATTTTTCGCATCCATATAGTAGGATGGAGTGAATTACTGCTTAGCACACTCGAATTTTTGTTAGCGAACGGATATCTCGCCTACGCCATAAGTGACGCAAGTAAGCAAACGCCAATCGAGCTTCCTGTATCTGTACTGAGATTTCGTCAGTCATCAGGCCATCAGCACTAACGAGACTCCCCAGATAAGTGAAGCGGTCTACACGCTCGACTACTTCACTCCCTATCACTAATTCATGTGTGGATGCAACCTAATCCTGAAGTGACATTTTACATTTCGAGGGTGAGAACCGCATGCCGAACATGCTTGTATTGTTGCTTGGGGTAGTCAGAAAACTATGCATTTTGTCAGCGTCTTCATCAAGTAGGACTATGTCATCGGCATATTCTAAGTCAATAAGCGAGCCCCCTGGTGAAAGGTCTACTCCTGAAAATTCAGACGAGGATAAGGTTATTTCTAGGAGCATGTCTATGATAAAATTAAACAAGAATGGAGAAAGTGGACATCCCTGACGGACACCGCTTGAAGTAAAGAATTCCGGTGACAGTTCGCCATAAGCCCTCACTCGACCAGTAGTGTTCGAGTAGAGAGATTGTATAAGGTTAATTTATTTTTTTGCCACTGCCACAGAATACTTAAAATTACTTTTATATTACACTTAGGAATAGTTAAAAAACGATTATTTTGAATTTTAACATTGTTCAACTCCAAATGAACATCTTCACTAACTGAAGAAATTATTTGAATGTTTAATTGGAAAATGAAACAAAACTACCCTATTACGATGAATAATGTTTGTTTTAAGGCATTTAAATACATGATATTTAAGTAGTTGAGATGTACTGATAAATGATTTTAATATAGGGGAAGCAAAACTACTGTTTATATTTTATACGTTAGTAACTAAGCCACTCTGAACAGTTTTTAAAACTACTTTGGATCCATTAAGATTTTTATGTATATAGTAATTTATAAGCCCCTCGCCCCCTCCCAAATGCTCTGATAAGTTCGAGTGAGAACAGTCTACTCTTTCTAAATTCTCTCATACAGATATATGTATATAGTCATTGTCATGGAAGTCCTACTCACTGCCTTCTAGTGATAAAGGTGTTGTTAATGAGATCGAGAGGATGTTAAGCAAGTATCAGGCACTTAAACAAGCTTGCTGAACAAGGAGAATTCGCCTTGTTGGAAAACTATGATTGCAAACCAATGGTGCACGTGGGCACCAGGATCCTGAGAGAACTAATGGCATATGAACCCATAGTTGGTCACCGGCTACTATGGAACTTCATTTCCTTAAGTTGCTTTATTGCCCTTGTGGATTAGACCTTTTAATCAAAGACTTGGGGAATGACTGTTTAAGGAAACCATCTGGTTCAGTTCGAGTGTCTGCTCAGCAAACCAGCCTTTTCAGAAATAATTCAATAAGTTGTGTCGCAAAATTACTAAGCTTTCCCTTTGTACCAATATGTTTAAATAATAATAAGGATAATAGTTTGTGGTAGTGGATGCTATTAAGATGGTAACTTGTAAATAGTATGCAGCTGAGTGTTGCCTCAAAGTTGCTTCCAGAAGACAGATCAAACTGCAGTGTTTTGAAGACGAGAGGAGTGAAAGAAGACACACAATAACCCGATTAGATTGATCAAAGACTATGTGTGTATATTTCTGAGACAATCCGTATTTTCTCGAAATACAAATCTTTTCATCAAGTCTTGACTTATTCGTACATTAAACTATTACTGATACTGTTACTAACCTAATACTTTGAATTCGTACTGATAACTCAATCTCGTTGTACTGTGATATATAAACTCAAAATGACATACATGTGTACATAGATTTATGTTTAGTATAACTGACTGAAACTCCGACTGTGGAGGAGGAAGTCAGGAAGAAGCGATGGAAGTGGATAGGACACGCACCACGAAAAGCACCTAACTGCGTCACTAGACAAGCCCTCACTTGGAACCCTCAACTCAAAAGGAAAAGGAGGAAGGCCAAGGAACACATTACGCTGAGAAATAGAGAAAGACATGAGAAGAATGAATAAAAATTGGGCAGAAGTGGAAAGGGAAGCCCAGGACAGAGTTGGTTGGAGAAAACTGGTGGGCGGCCTATGCTCCATTGTGGGTAACAGGCGTAAGTAAGTAAGTATAACTGACTGAATGATTTCGAACCTAACTGGAAGAATTATCGTTTTTTTACCTACGTATAATCATCAGTATTATTCTGAGTAACATTTTCAGAAGATTCAATGTACCTTAGTCAGCAGCTGAGATCCTGAGATGCTACTTAAACACATGTAAGTCGAAAGGCTTTGAATGTCAAAGAAATATTTCATACTATGAATAGGTCCACTCAAAGTGACATAATGTTTTTTTTATTGATTCAGCATGTCAATCAGCTACAACGCAGAACTTTGTACGTACGTATGGACGATTTTGAGCAATGTCATTCAACGTCTCTAACCATCGATAACTGTCTCGCGGATCTCAGTCAGGTAGTCTACATCTATCAACATGACTCAGTCCACTTGTCAGTGACTTCATTGACTTGTGTCATGTTTTAGTCTGGCCATTGGTTCACTATGAAAATATCAATATTATAATGTCAAGAAAAAATACAGCATATGATATGAACAGATGTAGATTAGACAATCAAATGAAGCTACATCTCTTACCAAAGAACTTTACTTTAAAACGATTAAATCAGTAATAAAATATTTTGATAGAAAAAAAATTATACCTGTTAATCTTTCTGCCGGCTTAAATTGCTCAGCTTCTAATTCCCACATTATTTCCGCTTCACGAGCAGTCATTAGTGATTCTTGTGTACGGCTACTACTCCCTTTTGAAAGAGCATTGGAAAGTTTTTTCGTTTCAATTTCATGCCTTAATTCATGTGCCGATAAATGACTTTTTTCAAATTCCATTTTTTCGATTAGATTAGCTACTTGTTTTTCAAGTGGTTTTAATTCTGGTGCAATCACTGCAGGTCGACGTATACATAATCCACTGAAGATATTCCAATTCTTGACATCTTTAAATGCAACCAGTGGACGAGACATTACTAATCTTCTATAAAAAAACAGAGACATAAAAATATTATTCACTGAATGATGATTAAAAATTAAAAAAAGGGTTTGTACGCATCCCTACTGAAAAATCTTCATTTTGTAAAGATGTACAACATGATTTTATGCATTGAATACAACACACACGCAATGTGAAGGTGACATATATTTCCTTAAAACGATAAATATGTATAAACTTAAATGGACTTTACTATTACTTCACAAAAGTTACTGCTGGAATTCAACAAACATGTTTGATTATCACCACTTGGAAACTTAACGATTTCCGCCGTGCCTTTACGTATTTTACTGGCTCATATTGATAACGTTTTCAATCAAAGACCGAAAACATATTCGAGCTTTATTCATAGGCTACGCATCTTGGTTATTAAGTGACAATAATATCATTATTTTATATAAATGGATTTATAAGAACAATGTTTTGTTTGGTCAAACAAAAAACAGAGGCCAGAACAATGAACTTGATCAGAAAAGTGAAGGGCCGCATCAACTGACGCTAAAAAGCCAGATGTATAAGTAATTTGTATTTAGCAAGAGTAAGACGATGCTTATAATAATGTTAATATCTTTACATGGAATAATAAGTAACGGCCAAGTAGACAATAACAATTGTTGATCTTTAAAAACAACTATAACACCACTTCTTTTATAATATAACACTTTACCTAAACGTAACACCTTTGCTCGGGAGATGACCTCGACCACCAGAGACCCGCAGCGACCTTCAGGTGCTACTTTGCGCCGTAATACACATCACCTTGAACTGCAATATCCAATAATCAATATCTTTTTCACGAGCTAGCATAAACCAAATGATTTCTTCGAGCTCGATTCTTCTTCTTTCGGTACCGTTCCAGGTGTTCGATAGTGTCCAATGAATGCAGGCCTAGCCACTCGACAGCCTGATTCTAGTCAGTTGATATTTGGTTGTGAGTTTCTATGACTCGGGATTTTGATGAAAAAAGTTTGTTTCAGGGCAGTAGGGTTTCAGGATACTAGCAGCCATCACAAAACCAGACCGGAGATCAGTTAATTGCAATGTGGAGAATAATAAGGATAAAATTCTGATGCTAATATGAATAAGATTTCAGAGCTAATTAATATATAGGTTTTTTAGTTTATTAATTGGTAGTGAAGATTGTCAGAGAGGACTGAAGTGTTAGCACTGCATAGGAAACAGATATAATAGGCGAGAAAGATTAAGTAAGTAATCTGAGGAGATGGCAGTGATTACAACTGGCAGTTCTCAAGATATGCATCATGAACAGCTTGTCCAAGAGGGAGATGATAATGTGTATGTGAGTACTTGATTATCAAGTCTCTACCTAAAGCTGTCCACGGAGGAGGCTGTGGTCACCTCGGCTGGGAGAGTATTGTAGGTTGCGACATCTCTCAGTGAGAAAAAGTGTGCACGAACCTGAATATGTCTAATTTCCGATGTCTTTTTCACGAGCTAGTATCAACCAACTGATTTCTTTGATCTCTACTCTTGTTCTTCCAGTACGGTTCCAGGTGTTTGGTAGTGTCCAGTGGTTGGTAGTCTAGCTACTCGACAGCCTGATTCTAGTCATTCGTCTTTGGTTGTGAGTTTGCATGTCCCGTGTTTTGAATGAATACACTGATTTACATGTTTCCAGATATATATCATTCGATTAAAAAACTCGAATGCTTATGCAAGTTAAGATTTACGAATTCTAAATTAATCGTTTAGCTTACAGGAAGAAGTAAGACTATTGTTCCCTGAAGTTGGTGGGAAGCGATCAAGAAGTATTAGACTTTCCTAATTTTAGCAGCTGTATTTCTTACTAAAATATCGGCTCAAATGATTCATTTCCACATTCCGTATTTATTTTGAAGAAGAAACATGATACATGAGACGCGGTAAGCTGGATGGAGGCGAAAGCGAACAAATGTTTGGGCTGAGGTTATTGACCACAGAAAGGATAAACTTTAGTACACGATCTCTTGCTGATGACTTTGTCTTAAGTCATACCCGTACTTGGACTAAGGCTGATCGCGTCTGATTTTTGGTGATTTTAGCACGCCACACATCAGTTGAATAGAAGTTACTTCAGGTGAATTTTTATACAGCAGCCTGTTATCAAATATTTCTCGATGCGTGTTTGTATACTGCACAGAGCAATCGACACATACTGACTTGAAACACAAATCATCACTACAAGACCTTGTTTTTACACAGCACAGTGATGATATCACCGACATTCAATACCTTTTCTCACTAGCAAACATTGACCACCTAGTACTGTACTTTTGTTTACAGACAAATGATATGAAGAGTGTATCCGCGTTACTTCGTCTCATCAAATAGCAGTCTTACATTCCGACAGAGATTGAGCTGTCTCAACATAATGGTCGGTCACTCTAGATGGATGTAGTAAGTTGTGCAAATATAGAAGAATACGGAATAGATGTAAAAAGATCATACAGAGACCACCCAACTCTCATAAAAGCCAGCTGGCACTTTGTAGCTGTACTTGCTCAAAACGTATGTTTTTAATACATAAGACGAAGAACAGAACTTAGTGGTGAAACTCCCCCCCATCGTTTTGCGGAAATTTAGCTGTACTAGCCTAGTCAGATATGGACAAATTTGAAACCTTATCAAACTATTTCAGTGAGGTGTTCTCTACATGTAACGGTAACAACATTCCTCAAAACCTCAGCATTGAGACACTAGCCGGAGAACTAGTATACATGATTGGGAAAGTTAATCTTCAACTACTCATTAATCACAAATCTTGTAAGTTCCTAGATCCTGATGGATTACAACCATGATTGCTGTCGTCGTTTGCGAGCATTATTGCTGAACCACTCACGATGCTGTTCAATATGTCTCTTTCCCAAACTCAACTCCGTAGGAATAGGAAAGACGCCACTGCCAGCCCTGTATTTAGGTACGGAGTTAGATCGACCGTGTCTCAACCACCAGTTTGTCAGTTTTATCAAGATAGTAGTAGTAGTTCAGAAATAAAAGTTGGAGCTAAGGTACTAAATTGGGGAGAAATATTCAGTCATTTCAATCCTGAACGACAGGGGTTTGGGATTAAACCTTCCTGCTTTACTAACTAACTAAATGAGTGGGACAGAGGCCTAAGGTAATGGTTTGTCAGTTGAACCAACATTTGTAGATTTCAATGAAGCGTTTGATAAGGTTTATCACTTACAAGATATGCAGAAGTTCCTGTGACCTGAAATAACATGTGCAGTACAAGAGTGGGTATAAACCTTCTGTGATCAAAGTTAGATCACAGTAAGTGACACACTATCTGAACGGAAACCGGGGAAAAGTGGCGTTCCACAAGACATTATCTTGATATAATCGCAACATAATTCGCTTACTTCTAACCGTCATAAAAATGCATTTCATTCGTCGGTAAATGAGGGAAGTCATCGTCTTTTTAACCTATTCGTACAAGTCGTAATAACATTCGTTTTCAGTGCCTAGCGTTTCGTCAATACAGCCCTTGACACAACATCACCACTGTGACTTGGTGTAGCTCTTTCATTTTAAAGTAGTCTGTGAACTCGAAGACAAAAGACTTTGTAACATAGTCCTGATATTGATATAACATTAAAAAGGGATTTATATTAACCATTTAATCACCTCCATTTAACTTGATTTCCGATAAAATACAGAGTTATTCACACTAATGAACATTTCGTTAAATCACAGTACCACAGGTTTAGACTTATGGTGAGTGTGTATAACCCTATCCGGTTTGAAAACCGGCGAATAAACCGATTAAATTTAGACTGAAATTGTACCCAGTTAAAGCATGATTGCGACCATAACAACAATACTAATTATAGGAGAAAATTAGAGACTTTTATTTCTGAAAATCTGAGTGGATTTTCCTTGTGTCTGGTGTTTCTTCCAGTTTGATGTTGATTTTTTAACGGTGAACGCAAATAAATATACGATCCAAACGGAAAGTTGAAAAACGCCTAGTTAATAGAGACACCGTAGTAAGAGCGTGGACTAATAAGGACGACCTTTAAAAATTTAATTATTAGTACAAGTGGTAGTTCCAACACAGCCCCACTATCTCTAATAACCTTCATAAGTGCCAGTCTGCAATAAATGACTTCCATTATGTCCAATAACTCCGCCAGTAGAACCTTAGGGGCTACTGCCGGTCCCAAGCCCGGATAAAGGAGGAGGGTTGGACATGGGGTTGGCGGCCCCATTCCGTTGAAATCTAACTTGCCAAAAAAACGCTAACCAGAAAAAATAATTCAAACCATTTTAACTCTGCCCTGGGAGTTGGAAGAAGAATTATGACGTCTCGTGATGAAAGCCGAGTCCCCTCGGAAGTCACGGGGCCGATGCCTCTTCTGACAACCAGAGCAACCATTTTTTTAGGTACATGGAATGTTCGTACATTGTGGGAGACTGGAAGACTATTTCAAGTTGCTGCAGAAATGAAAAGATACAACCTCGAGGTGCTCGGCATCAGTGAAACACATTGGACACAGGTAGGACAACTGAGACTTGCTTCAGGGGAACTGCTGTTATACTCTGGTCATGAAGAGGAAAACGCTTCACATACACAAGGAGTTGCACTGATGCTGTCCAAACATGCACAAAAGGCACTGATAGGATGGGAATCTCATGGGCCGAGGATCATTAAAGCATCCTTCAAAACAAAGAAAGAGGACATTACAATGAACGTCATCCAATGTTATGCACCTACCAATGACTACAATGACGACGTTAAAGATCAATTCTACGAAAGGCTGCAGTCAATCGTCGATAAATGTTCACCAAAGGATTTGACGATTCTTATGGGAGACCTGAATGCCAAGGTTGGAATGGACAACACTGGATATGAAGACATCATGGGACGACATGGACTGGGAGAAAGGAACGAAAACGGTGAGAGATTTGCAAACCTATGTGCCTTCAACAAACTGGTCATCGGTGGCACAATATTCCCACACAAACGCATTCACAAAGCCACATGGATTTCACCGGATCACACTACTCAAAACCAAATTGACCATATCTGTATCAACAAAAAGTTCAGAAGGACCATGGAGGATGTGAGAACCAAGAGAGGAGCTGATATAGCTTCAGATCACCACTTGCTGATCGCCAAAATGAGATTGAAGCTAAAGAAGCACTGGACAACGGGGCAGACAACATCACAGAAGTTTAATACGGCCTTTCTTCGGGATACCGTAAAACTCAACGAATTCAAGATAGCCCTCACCAATAGGTTCCAGGCCTTTCAGGATCTACTCAATGGAGAGGAAGCAACATTGGAGAACAATTGGAAAGGGATTAAGGAGGCAATCACTTCAACATGTCAGGAGGTCCTTGGTCGCAAGAAGCACCATCACAAGGAATGGATCTCTGTTGGTACTCTTGAAAAAATTCAAGAAAGGAGGAACAAGAAGGCAGCAGTGAATGTCAGCCGAACAAGAGCAGAGAAAGTTAAGGCGCAAGCCGAGTATACAGAAGCAAACAGGGAAGTGAAGAAGAGCATCAGAGCTGACAAACGAAAATATGTGGAAGATCTAGCAATGACGGCGGAAAAGGCTGCAAGAGAAGGAAACATGAGACAATTGTACGAAACAACGAAGAAGCTCGCCGGAAACTATCGTAAACCAGAACGACCAGTGAAAAGCAAGGAAGGGAAAATAATCAGCAACACTGACGAACAGCGAAATAGGTGGGTGGAGCACTTTAAGGAACTATTGAATCGACCAGCTCCACTGAACCCACCCAACATCGAAGCAGCATC